AAACCTTTATCTAAAGAAAAACAACAATTGTGATTCATGGTAAACTCAGAAGCTTTTTTAGGGGGCTTTTAACAATTTTTGCAACATTTCAAGCAAAAAAAAGATAACAACAAAATCAGGAATGAGACAAAAACTCTTTTGAAAAGAGATACAAATATAGTTATATAGCTTTAAAACCAGAGCCAGACTGCTTTCACAAACAATTGTAATCTCTGTCTTGACTTGATTGGACATAAACCTCTTACAGGGTGAAACTTTGGCACCTGTCGTTCAGTCTTGAGGATTACACTTCAGCTCGTGCTGCCCTCAGCAGCCCAGGGATCATTCATGTCAGACCAAATACAACTGTTGACTTATTCTCATCCAGCGAGCTTTAAATGCAGAATAACACATCTGACCTCTGTGAACCTTCGAGGCTGTTCAGTGATGTACAAACCTATTGTCACATTCAGGTGTCTATAAAGGTTAAATGACTTGTAAATATGTTTAATAGAGATTTATGAATTGCACATCAAGAGGTTAGTGAGTGGGTCTAGACTCTCCATTGTGTACCTAATTAAAAGCTTAACCAGTTACTTCACCAGTTTGTGAAAATAACTGGGGATAATGGGATCTTAGTGTGGGAACGTATATATAGTGTAGTGTGTATGTCCCATTTTTAAGCTGACTTGCATAAAACAATGTCATATGAAAGGCATAAATATAAAGGTACGACGGTCAACTTTAATCTCACTTAATGTTTTAATTCACATGTAAATAACATTCCAGGAGGTGGACAAAATAGCCCAAACAGCTCCATATAATACCATTTTAGTGAAGTTCATGTAATGTTTAATCTACCAAAGATGGTATTTATTTGTACACACAACAGTAGTTTACACTGTTGTGTATCAGATGATTCAATTAAATCTGCAATATTTGTCTACTGTCAGGTTTAAAAGCTTTTTCGTTGTAATCCTGTTTGGCAACCACATAAAAACATTGTCTACTAAATGAATGTATATAGCACTCCACCACGCTCTGGAGGATAAAGACCTATAGCTGCAATTCCTTTACTTGCCATTTATTTGTGCAGTTAGTATTCCCAGTATGCAATAAAGTTTTAAAGCAGGTTTATATCATTCAAATTCTCCGTATTCGGTTTGAAATTAAATAAGTTTATCATGTTTTACATGCTTTCATATCTCCTTGTCTAGATGAATTGTTACAGGCTGTTAGAGCCTTTAAAAAAAGGGTTCAACACAAGACATAAGAGTCCTTAATTGTACAAAAAAAGAGAGACAACATAAGTTTATATTTTATTTTAACAGTTATTACTAAATGTATTAGAACGACTCTGTATAGCGCTTTAGTCAAGAGGTATTGTTCTTACATGTGCTGCAGTAAATACATTGACCTGACTTGATACTAATTAAACTTTCTCTGACCCCTGGTGTGTGTGTGTGTGTGTGTGTGTGTGTGTGTGTGTGTGTGTGTGTGTGTGTGTGTGTGTGTGTGTGTGTGTGAGAGAGATAGACATAATAAGAGACTTAAGAAGTGAGGGAAAGAGCCAGACATCATCAGCTCTCATTCATATTTACTTTAACTACATTCTTGTGACACATCTTCTCTGATAATTTATTTTTCACTCTTTCTCAGTATAGACTGAACCTGGTGAGAAACACTGCAGAGATGTTCTGTACCTTAAAATCCGGAAAAAAGGTGAGGGATCACGGATCATCATTTGGAGGAATTACTCTTTGTTAAATCCAGATCTGAAGGGCTTATGCTTAGACTGAGGGCATCTGATCCCAGCTGTCACACTTGAGGAGTGAGAAATTGAACACCTAGGAACTCCGGGAGGAGGAAGAAGAGGAAACTACTCGACAACTCTGCAGGAAAAGAAAGCTTTGTACCATGCATCCATCTGCTGTGCAAAATGCTTCCTACATGGGCCCACATGGGGAACCCCCTCTGTCACGCACTGGCTTCCTCATCCTCGCCATCATTATGGCCATTTTTACCGTTCCGGCCATCATACTCAACGCTACAGTGATCATCGTGTCCCTCCTGCACAAGCAGCTGAGGCAGCCGCTCAACTTCGCTCTGGTGAACATGGCTGTGGCTGACCTGGGAACAGCTATGACTGGAGGGGTCCTGTCCGTGGTCAACAACGCCCAGGGGTACTTCTCCCTGGGAAGAACAGGCTGTGTTATGGAGGGCTTTGCAGTGTCCTTTTTTGGTGAGTAAAAGAGAGTATAAGTTGAGTACTCTTCTTAAACTGTTCATACTATTACAGATTTATGGTTCAACATGCATATCCTTTCCAGAAATGTTACATTTAAGTACATTTTTACAAGATAACTAATTTCATCCCATACATTTTTGCTTACAACATTTTTAATAAATCCCCCATTTCCTTTCTCCTCACTTCTCCACAGGCATCACATCTTTGTGCACAGTGGCTCTGATTGCAGTGGAGAGGATGTTTGTCGTGTGTAAACCATTGGGACAGATTACCTTTCAAAAAAAGCATGCGTTAGGAGGCATAGCCTTGTCCTGGCTGTGGTCCCTCACATGGAACACCCCCCCCCTGTTTGGCTGGGGCAGGTATGAGCTGGAGGGCGTCGGGACGTCCTGTGCACCGGACTGGCACAACCAAGACCCTCACAACGTCTCCTACATCCTGGCTTACTTTGCAGTGTGCTTTGCAGTTCCCTTTTTCCTTATACTAGCATCCTACTCGAAGTTAATGTGGACATTACACAAGGTTAGCACGTATACATGTTGCTTCATAACAGGTGTGGTGAAAAGTAGCTAAATGCATTTACTCAAGTACTCTCCATTTCTTTCTTTACATTTTTTACGTCATTTACTCACTATTTAATACTACTGAGGTACAATGTCCATATTCCCATACTAAAATGTTATACTTTTAGAATCACAAGATGTATCTGAAATCTGTAGTTACTGACTTCAAATAAAAATAATTTACATTGCCCATTGACTTTAGGGCTGAAAAAGGTTAAATAACACAATACTTTTCAAAAAAGATGACACAATTATTGATTATTTTTTCCTTCTTCTTTGCTCTCCCATTGATTGTTTTACAACCAATCAGATTTATCATGTGACCCTTTGGAGGCGGCCAGAACAAATGGACTCATCGACTTAACTGGATATTTATAATTAGCTCAACTTAAATAATTAGCTTAACCTAACACTGCTTATTTGTTGAATGTGATCATACATAATAATTTATCCCACACATGGGCCATTTTACTGCAGAATGATCACTTTTATTTTGTATAATTTACTTTTTATTGATAAATATACTTGCAATTGAGTATATTTTCATTGTTGTATTGGTACTTATTGTATCTGTAATACTTTTTCTAAAGAGGAATATTTTATAGCTTACAAAGCGACATGCAATTGTCCTTATTGAAACCAAGGCTTTGCATTCTTGCGGTGTGATCCAAACACCATTGGACCCATAAGTGTTTAAAACGATACTCTGCTCCCACAGGTATCCAAGATGGCCTGTCTGGAAGGCGGTGCGGTGGCTAAAGGAGAGGCGAAGGTGGCGTCCATGGTGGTTTTGATGGTCCTCTCATTTCTCATCAGCTGGTTGCCTTATGCCGGCCTGGCCATGCTGGTGGTCTACAACCCGGATGTGGAGATTCACCCGCTGGTGGCCACAGTGCCTGTTTACCTCGCCAAGAGCAGCACTGCGTACAACCCTATCATCTATATCTACCTCAACAAACAGGTAATGTTACTCCACGCATAGATAATAATTGCAGGTCTCCCTTGAAAAAGAGATCGGTGATCTCAATGGGATTCACCTGGTTAAATAAAGGTTTGAAATTAAATGAAAATAATTGAATTTAGCCAAAAGAGATGAACAACATGCAGGTAATAAACCTTGCTGTGAATCGGCTCTTAAATACTTAGCTCCATCTAGTGGTGTTGATGGACAGTGTTTAAGGATAAAGGTTTAAAGACGTTTCTACAATTTAATGTAATATTTACATGTTTTGTTCGGTATACATTTTGCATAACCAAATCAACATTTTTTAGTCTTCCCTTACAATTAAATGCCTTTTTTATTCTGAATTATTTGTCAACGCTAAACAAAAAACAGAAAGAGTTGATGTACCTGACTGAATTACAACATGTTGTAACACTTTACTTGAACTCCCCCTAGCAAGTAGTTTTTATGCACAATTTAAACATTTCAATGGTTTTAATGTATGGTATTTGTATATTATTTGTTTGTTTTAAAATATCCTATATTGACATATTATTATTATATTATTACAACAGTGTTACAACTACAACTTAATATTATTATTAACATATAAAAAGTTATTCTTGCCCCTAACTACATCATACCATGTTTAACAAATGTTTATATACAGTTCTGCTTATAAATGCTTAGAAGGTTAAAATGTAACATAAGTGATTGTTGATTTTGCCACATATTTTAACATTGGTGTTAAATAATAGTCAATATTATTATGTAGCATACATTATATGAATTGTATGCATTTCTTTTATAATAACGCAGCTCTAACTTGCTGCAAATTGTTTGTCAATATGTTTAAAGAAGACAGTATGTGTTTGCTGAACCTTTTAGGGCTCATTTTGGTTTTTTACAGTTTCGTAAATACGCAGTTCCCTTCCTGCTGTGTGGGACAGAGCCTTCGGAGGACGATGAGACATCAGAGATGACGACAGTGGAGAGCAACAAAGTGTCTCCCTCCTGAAATGTATACAAACATCAACCATCTAATACATTTCTGGCTGAAATGTTCACAATCCAGATTGCACATCTTTGTGTCACCTGACGCACACATATCAGCAACACTGTACCTCCAATGTTTAAATGTGTTTGTATTTTTTAAATGATGGATTGATGGTTAAGACTAATATTTCTTCGACTTCACATGTACAGACTGAGTGGTGAGGAAAACAGTGTCATGTTTTGTGCAGAATACAAATAAATGAGAACAGTAATTCAGCATAAGTTTATTCAATGATGATCAATAGAAAATAAAATATCAGTTTCGATTCAAATAAAGTCAAGGCCAAAATAAAATGAAAAATACAAAAAAATGTATTGATATAAAACCTAGAAGGTTATAGTAAAGCATTTGCTACTAAGAGAAATGATGTTTACTGAATAAAAACATTAAGGAGCAAATATCAAGACTTTCAAGTAGAGAACATTACCATGGGTCTTTCCATACGTTTGTACATATTTTACATTATCTTCTATTTTAATACAGCTTTCAGAACATTAATAGTTGTAAGAGTAATTATAATCATAACAATATGAAGAAAACTAATAGAAACGTTCAAATCAATAATGTGTTTCTCTGTAAACCGGTACTCTACCATTTTATTTTTTCCCCTACCTGCGAACAGAGAAACAGTGCACCTTGAAAATATTTTTTTTAATACTCTTTCATTCCCAGCATTGTAAGGTGAGGTGTAAATGACAAATATAGATTCCACTAAACCATACACACAGTCACAAAAAGTACAAAATTGTCTCACCTTAATACACAAATCTGTTTAGAAAAAGGAGAAACAAAAGCACTATACAGTCACTTGTGCAAAGACAAACAGCTATGTGCTAATATTTAAATACCATTGGTATAGACCAAATCATCTTTTCTTTTTTCAGGAATCCCTGACATGAGGTAAAAGTAAGTTATTTTCATCTGAAGTTTAACACAACTTTTAAAAGTGTTTACAAAATAATGCATATCTTCAGTTCATCAGTACTGTATTTGCTACGAATAGTACAATGTGCCTGTTATGTGCATTGGTCCTTTTATATGACAGTCATCAACAAAAGGACTAGAACACATTTTTTTTTACTCACAAACAATTCAAAGAGCCCTTTCAATGTGCACACAAAATGGAAAACCTACATTTTCATGACAGTATTCGGTTGAATTAGAGTACAGAGCGCACTCGCCTACAAATCAAACACTCATGAACGACACATTAACCCTAAATATCCCAGGTGCTAATTCAAACTCTCAATGGTAATGCCTGAAAAAGCCCACTTCAGTTTACTTAGTCCAGTATCAGTATTGTAATAGATAAATAAAGGAAAATTGATAAAAACCTAAATATACTTTATTGTCTTGTGTTCAAAAGTGTGGGCTTCAGTTGCTCATTTGTATGCATCCATGTTGAGTTTTCCCTCCTAGCCTCATTGGTAAAATATGATAAAAACACAAAGTCCAGGTTCAATCCCAATCTCTTTCACAGACTTGACTGCGGGACACTGACAGACAAGTACATTGAGACAATGATATGTTGTCACGTTGCCTAACGAGGTATACTGTACGCACCAGGCCGGCTGAGAGAGAAAGGGGCGGGGGGGTAGTATTGCTTAGCCTCTCTCCAGCATCCTGACAGCAGGACACCCTCTGTCCTTCTTCCTACAACACGTTGGACTGTTTCTGACCTTTGGATGTGTGCACGAGCCTCCTGCCACCACCCCACTGCGAGGCCTCTCACACTTTACGAAGGCTGAGATGTGATTGCCAAGATTCAGTACAAAGGTTGAATGGAATTGCACCCTCAACAAAGAGTATGTCATGGAAAATCCCAGCACAAGCTATGAGAAATATTTATTTATCCCTGTTATAACCATCTATCACTTCCCGTTCTTTCAGCAGCAAAAAGGCATTTCAGTAGGGGCTGACCTAGGTTTGACTCTGAAACCAACTAAAAAAGCAGCATTGTTAATGCACTATGCATCTTAAATTATTGTGCATGCCCTGCACAAAATATGCAAACAAAGGTGTTCATCACATCGGTATAAAATTTCAGCGCTGGATCCTAAAAATGCTCCTTTAAAGGGGGCTTAACCTTATGCAACTGGTGTTGGTTTAATGAAGTAACACGTGTTCTCCTAAGCTAAGAAATCAAAGCCATTTGCATATCTTGTGCAGTAGTGTTGTCACACAAGCAGAACCTCTTAAAAATGCTGTTTTCATAGGCAAAAAAAGGGTGCATATCAGCAAAAAAGGCAAATAAAAAAAGTCTGCTTGTATAGCATTACAGGAGTCACAAGGGTCCATATTGCTGATCTTTTAAATGATACATAATTACAAAATATAGAATATCTCTTTACAAAGTTTCTTTTGTTATATAATACAATTTACAGCATATCAACTAGGAAATATTAATCAGGATATTCTAACATTTGAAAATAACCTGCCTGCTAGTGCATTTATCACAAATGCTTTTGTCGCTTCAAAAGTACATATCTCAAGTTGAGTGATGCTATAAGTAGGACAGTTAGTTCCTGCATAATCTGGTACGACTCTACTGGTGCTCTTCACTTTTTTGACTCAGCTGTAGCGATCATTAAACGGTCTGCACTAAAACAACAAAGGGAACAAGTAGGAACTACGGGAGGAGATATGCCTTTCTATGCTTGCATTGAAAACTTGCATGATATGCCAAACCTTAATAAAGTGACCGAGGTAATGACATCGTACATCTGATTGTCATCACCCTTAGAGAGTATCTCATACCTTTGCCAATTGGTCCATCTTTCACTGGTATCAATGTCCTCATCTCTGATTGGCTGTAGGCTGAACCTGTTCGTCACCTCCATTCCCTCAGCAGGTTTCTGGCTCTTTGTTGTGACCTCCGTTGCCGGAAGGTGGAGAACAATTAAATGAACAGGACTAATGTGTCTCTCTTCTATATGCCTTTTCTCTCCAATGTAAAAGGCACTTCTTTTGGTCAGAGCCAACAGATGCATTTATTTTTTAAATTTCCACTGATAGTAGTCTGTTAAAGTTCTACGTTGCAGTTTTCTTCAGCCACTGCTATAAAGTCGTGATGCAGATCATCTCGTCTGCCAGGTCCTCCTCATAAGGAGCTCTAGGTTCTGTCTCTGGCTCCTCGTCGCTGTAGCTGGCTGCAGTGTCCTGCAGGTCATAGTCCCTTGGAGTCAGGATGGGGAACACGTTGACCCCGTTGGCGCTCGGGGCCATCCCTCCGTTCAGCAGGTGGCTGGCCGCACTCTCCATCTCATCTATCGTCATCTCACACGCATCTGCAATCTCGTGCTTTGTGGCAGCGACGAACTTGGGATCCTTGGCATATCTCCCAAGCCCTTCTGATATCAAAACCTGCTCCACAGAATGAGAGGAAAGAAATATATAACTGTGGATTTCTGCAATCTTGTTTGACTTATCTTGCTTGTCACATTTTTATTCGACAACAAAATATAACAAACGCATATTCACAATAGCTGCAAAAATAAAAGTGTTTGCATACACTGGTTTACAGACACTCACAACCTCACAATCCCTTGACCTCTGTCCATATTTCAACCTGTCGAAAAACTGTTGCCGCGAAATAGTAGGGACACTTTTTGATGGCAAAGATAACTTTATTTGGTCAGTCACGCCTCTCCTCCTTCAACCAATCCTTAAACTCACCGCTTCCACGAGGCTGGTGGCGCTGCCTCTCTTCTGGTGGTACTGGTTGTGGAACTCCGGCGGCACCTGCAGGTGGACGGGGGAGTACATCCTCTGGGAGAACTCCGGGTCGTCCGTGTACCAGGAGCTCTTGCGCACAGACACTTGGCTGCTGGCGACGCTCCCCCTGTGTTTCTGGTCCACTCGGATGAGAGGGGTGTAGTATGGCGACTGGTCCTTACTGCCCGGAGTGGCGGGGGGCGTGGCCCAGGAGCGGGTGGAGCGGGTTGGGGAGAGGCGGTGGGCTCTGCTGGAGTCCAGGCCTGCTACGGCCATGACCTGATGTGTCAGGAGAGACAGGGTACAAAGTGAGCACACAGCCACAGAACTATACTACTACTCCAGGAGGATTAGTGCACAACTCCTTTTATACTATTTTTAGGCATATATTATGGTCTCAAATATATAAAAGCAGGTCTATGAAGTGTTTTGCTCAAAATACAAAACAGATCACCCCCTAGCCATGCCTCATACCCCTCTAATTCAGTCCTGACGAGAGCTCATGCAGGAGAATTCTACCCAGAAACTCAGCTAAATGCTGTCGTGATTCAACGCCATATTATGTTCCAAACCACATGAAGGATTATTTCTGAAACAGTATGGAGCTCAAATGCTTTTTCTCTCACGGGTTTACCACAAGGTGAGTTCCTTTTATTATTTCCTGATTTTTTACACATACTCTCTCCAGTACAGCGTTAGCTCTGAGTGTTAGCGATGCTTGCTAATGTAAACACAGACCATATTACTTCCAAAATAGCGCATTGTTTCTGATAGCGACGTTTCTGATAAAGCCAGCCCACATTTCTGATATAACGTCATATCGGCAGCAAATCTGGATCAGCTCCGTTGTACCCCCGTTTTTAGAGATGTGGGTAAGGAGGAAAAGAGAGAGGGTTTTGTTTTGTGTGTGTCTACTGACACAACGGGGACACATATTTATGTATAAAAGATATCAAAAAGTGCATTTTGCATGATAGGGGACCTTTAAATAACTTTACCTAAATGTAAATAGCTTTAAATGCATACAATTTTCTATAATTCATCATAGAAAGGGAATTATACATTCCATGCAAGTCAACAAGGTAGTGTTCAAAACAATGTGAGCAGCAGTACGGTGAGGGGGCCTTGTGCCTGTGTTACCTGTTGCTGCATGAGGTGCAGTGGCAGAGCAGTGCGCTGGTGTGGAAGCTCGTCCTGGCTACCTTGTCTGCGCAGACACTCAAAGTTGAAGGATGGCCTCCTGTGACCTGAGCGAGTGAGGAGTGGACAGTGAGTGAACACGTGCAGGAAGCTTCGACAGCATGCAACACTCAACGAACATTAAACTAGGTGAGTGGGTACATCATACAGTAAATGTAGTGGTATGAGTGCATTAAGAAGCTATTTTATGCCTTGCATATACACATGTCTTTGGAACAGTAGGTTTGTAGCCAACTTGTTATTTTTTGTTCCAATTATTTGCTTTTACCTACTATGAAGTCATTATTGTGTTCTCTATAACATTGTGAGATTTGATTATAACTTAAAAGTAGTTTTTTTGCCTCTTCCTGCATGTAGGTTATGTGTTATCTGTTATGTTTCTGTATGTTTAAATAGTGCAACTTAATTATTTGTGTGTGTTACAGGGGATGGGGTCTGTTATAAGACACAGGAGTAACACTCTACCAATATTTGGACCCTACATCCTACATTATATGGCAGGACATGTTTGTGTTTCATTGAACCTAAAATGTATAACATGTTGGCATGAAGACATGTAAACATGTTGCAGGATGAAAAAGGGTCAATACCTTGAGGCGTGGCAGGCAGTAACCGTCTCTTTGGTGACCTCCGTGAGTCGCGGTAAAGCAGCTGCTCGTCATCGTCATAGTAACTGTCAGGGTGATGGTAACCTTTGGGAGTCTCATACTCGGTGTCACTGTTGGGATACCTGTCAACACAAACAATAAAGATGTTGGACGACAATGATTTTGGACACACTTTTATTAAACCATTTCCTTTGGGTCAAGTTGTATGGTTCTTTAAATACATGCTTCCTTTTCTGAGTGCAACTCAATGAAAATGTAGTCGTCACATTAGGTACAACTTCAATTGCTACATAAGTAAGAAGATGTACCTCTCTCCTGAAAGCATACTATCGTCTTCATAGAACTCCTCCCCGCTGTAATACTCCCCGGAGAGCCGGTCTTCTTCAAACTCCTCCTCCCTGCGGATGGTGGGGTGGTGTCCATCGACTCCATGCGACCTGAAGAGAGCGCACAGGGATCAGAGCGTGCACACCGCTGCTGTTCAGCGAAGTTACTCAAATATGCCCATGCACTGCCATGCAGACGCAAGCAATGCAACTGACCACCCTTATTGTATTGAATACCATCCACAGCCAAACCAAGACAACAGGCAGAAGATTTGAGCATCACTCTGTCTTCTAATCCCCTCTTCTCTTTAGAGGTGCTTCGTTAGTTGAGTTAAAACACTGATGTTTTCTGGAGTGAATAAGTGAAGGACTTTTTAGGGCATATAAGCATTAAAAAAAGGTGACTAGATTTACAAAATAACATTCTCATACACTTCCCTTGTTTGTAGGTCCTTCTTCAAAGCAAGCACGTCACTTTGTCACATGCATATACTGAGGGCTGCTCTCAGCAATATGCCGCCCGCTAACGCTCATGTTATTGCTAATTCAAAGCATCGACACAACTGCTTCACAACAGAGGCAGATGACAACCAGACAAAATGACTTGCCAGCATATAGCACACAACACTGACTTAGTGAGGATGCAACCATTCCCTGGATGAAACAAATAACATCAAAATAAAGTCCTTCTTTTGCTTTAAAGACATACCGCTGGAGCCAAACCTAGAAAAGCAACATACCTAACATAGGTCTCATAGTAGCGCCTTCTGTCCCAGAGAGCAGAGGGATGGTTGAGAGAAAGCATTTTGGTTAGGAAGGAGAAAAGGAGGAGAGAACACAGAGAAAAGGGCAGAGAAAGCATGACATATATATCATACAGTATATGAAACATATACAGCATTCTCATATATATGTATGAGGAGGAGAGCGTGTGATGGCAGGTGTTGACGCAAGTGTTGGGTGACAATTCCATTTTCTACTTATGAGATAAGAAACAATCTAAAACTCATTACTCTTTTGTAAAGTGGCAGCAATGAAATTGTCCCCCAAACGTATTGGGTACTAAAGAAAATACTGGAGCAGCTGACTAAACAGAGCATGGGAAATCAGGAGATAAGTGCACTATTGATCACTTGTGAAATGAACTGTCAGTATGAGACTAGGCTTTTACAGGGGTTTACAGTACAGCAAAGGTTTGTGCAAAGGGAAGATTTGATAAGAAGCTGGGTCCTGCCTGTGGGGAAAAAGTACTTTCAACAGATAATGTCCTTCTCAGGGAGCACAACTAATGGTTTTTTTTTATTTCCTGCATTGGATACGTCAGTCAGATAGCTGCATGGCAGTGTCAAGTAAACAATAAACAGATGAAAAACTTCTGAAATCTATGACATTTCTACATTTGGCAGGTTCAGAACTAAGAAAAGAATGTACTCAGAGACACAGATCTGAATCCACGTGTAAGATTTTAACTACAGCGTTTCAGCAGCAGATCAAGCGTTGATGATCAGCGTGTGGTTACCTTTGACCCTGGGGGGTCCGGGGCTTCTCGTAGTCGTAGTAGGAGCTGCGGAGACCTGGGTAGCCGTTGGGCGGTGCATGCTCATAGTACCGATGGTGTCCTCCGTTAGGCAGGCTGGACACGTTGGCGTTGTTGAGGTTGATGTTGGTGGATTTTGGAGATTTGCCGTAGGAGTTGTGGTGGCGGTTGTGATGGTGGTGGTGGTGGTGATGTTGGTTGGGGTGGGACATTGCGTTGGCTCGAGATAGGCGTCCCACCGGCTGGTCCATGTGGGCGTAGTGGGGCGGAGGCTGCACCTGCAGAGGTCTCTGCGTGGCGTTGGTCTGGTGGCCGTTGGATCGCCGATGACCACCGTTCATGAGATGGTTACCGAAGAGTCCGCCGTTACGCTGTGGAGGAACGCTCAAAGTAAAACCACTTTCTACTTCTCACAAAGCAGCACAACTAATGTTTAATTGATGTTAAGGCTCAGGGTTTCAGAAATGGTATGAGCAAAAAGAAGTTGAAAAGCTGGTTTCATGGCACATGACGTGAGCAAAAATGTTTGTAGTTTTGAATTGAAATGAAGAAAAAACAAGCCAAAATAAATCTAATTAAATCTACATATTTGTAGAAATATAAACTAGAGACACGATCACAACTATATATTTAGCTCATCAATATTTCCTTTTAAATGTACATTAAGAAACTTTTTAAGCACAATATTTAATGTTGCCACAAACATTCCTCCTGTCATGTAAAATTAAATCAGTTACCCTATAAATTTCCTCGTCTTCCTCTGGAATAAAGTCTACTAGCTCGTCATCCTGCAGATCACATGATATCGCTCGGCGAATTTCGGGCCCGATATCATGCAGGGTGCGAAGGCCAGCCTGTAACCATGACAATAAGAGAGCTAAACGCTACAGTGGGGACCTTCATCTCACAGCAGCAAATCTGACAACACAGTCACAACCAACACACACACACACACACACACACACACACACACACACACACACACACACACACACACACACACACACACACACACACACACACACACACACACACACACACACCTGCGCTGAATATGCAACAGCTGACAGTAACAGTACTGACAGACAATGAGACGGACAGATGTGCTCCCCATAATGCAACCTGCTGAGAGGCTTACTCACAGCATCCAGCTGTGCTTTGTGGTGGAAGTATAATTTCCTTCCTTTTCTTTATTTTGGTGATGTTTTTTTAAACCAAATTAGCACAATATACTCAAAAATGTCCTTATAAACAAATTAAAAGTTGGTTATGTTTACAGTCAATGATACAGATATATGGGGGTACACTGTAGCCATATATCATATATTATAAAGGTAACAGAAATGGCGACAAGCTCGTGAATTTCATGAGTGGATGAGGAATTGTAAAGCAGACGATGACACACGCTTAACATCAACATTGATGATATTTAGAGGCACAGAGACATAAATAACAAATTCACACATTGGGAACATGAAAAAAAACACATTAACAGATTCATACTGTACACCAAGACCATGAACGTCCTGCTGGATCATAAATCATAACATTAGCATACTTAATGATATTTAATGAAATGCACAAAAAAGACACATTTTACAGATTGACACAACACAATTGCAATGCTTGAAAATCCATGTTTTCCCACAATTTCAAACAATCTTTCTCGCGTAAATAATACACACACATACTGGGCGAGACTCACCTGTAGAGCGATAGCTGTGTTGTTCTGCGTCGGGTGAGCACCCACCAGGCCTTCTTCTTTACGTTTCTTGAATTTCCTAAAGTAGTCCTGTATCAGGAAGGTGGCATAGAACTTCCCCACGGTTACCTCATCATCTGAGTGAACAGACCACACAAATGCTTCCTGTGTCAGCAGGTCACTACACACTGAACCCTGGGAGAGAGAATGAGACACTCTTCTCCCCTCTCGTCCATACTGTTACAAACTGTGGGTCCATCACCTCGGGACGGCAGACAAGTCAGACAATCTTTAAGCAAAAAATGATTTGTATTGTTACTATATACATCCATCTTGATGGAGTATATACTGTACCTTAATATGCACCACATTAATTATTTTACTTCATAACTTTCATGTGAGTTTGCATATATCTAGATCTGAACAGCTTTGGATGATAGGTTTAATAACATATTTCTAATTTAAATGACATTTAATTGTATAAATATGACTGATTTAAGATGTGAGTAATAACTATTGTAACTCCTTCCTTAATGTTGCAGTATGAGGAAGACAGAATAAGCAGAATCAAAATCAGATAGACTTCACATACACATACAGGGTTATAAAATACTGCTACTCTTTAACTAGCACTGTGTGATTGGCAGTTAAATACAGGCTGCAAAATAGAGACTTTAACATATTTAAAATATATAATCTATGTTCTACAACTGCTATTTGATTAAGAAAAAATACAGAACAACTATTCCTTGTAATATATTAACACTTTTGAGATTGTTAAGTGGGAGTAGGGTGCATGAACTAAATATTTCGTAATTTATTTAGAATGCCATTTAATTGACTACTTTAGCACATGCAAGCAAGCAGATCTACAGTATGCATCATACTGTACATGTCAGTGTGTTTGGGTAAATGCACCTATTCATGCTGATGTTTGCCTTCTCGTTATATGTGTATGTCGTCAGATATTGCACTTAGAACTGTGTATTAATATCCTCTTGCATTATGTATTTTTGTCATATTTAGATTTTTTTTTTCTAAGTGTGTGAGAATCATTCTGAAGCAGGGGTCTGAATCACTTTGAACAAGCGCGCTGGGGACAGAGATCGGAGAGAGAGGCAACACTAGTTCCATGCCACCACCCTAAAACAGAACTGCTTCAGAATATTCTGAAGTGCGCCAGAGTTTTGGATACAGAGATATAAAAGTGTGAGAAGAATAAGCTGTGGAAGCCCAAGCAGTGAGAAGAGGACAGATATTAAGAGAACTGAGTGAGACAGAGAAATTGAGAAAGGAGAGAAAGAGACAGGTAAATAGGAAAAGAGAGAGAGAGGTTAGTGAGAGGACAGAGCATGCACTCGCACGTTGTCTACAAGGCCATGCAAGACCAAAGCCCAGCAGACAGTCAGTGGCCTCCGTCAGCATCCGGGGCAGGAGGAGGACACACATGGATAAAAACACACTGCTGAGGGGACAACCAGGAGAACATGAGCAGAGCAGAAAAAGCACAATACAGCTTTACTTGTGTGTGAGAGTTAATATGTGTGAGCACGTTTTTATTTGAGGATATAGTTATGAAAGAGTAGTTTGGAGATTCCTGTATTTTAATGCAACAGCGTACGATTAGTGTGTGTGTGAGCTGCTTTAGCTTGGTTTGTGTGTCAAACTATAACAAAAGGACCAGGAGGTGTGTGTGATTTCACTAACCACCAGCAGGGGGCACAACTTGATCCAGGAGCTTCATGCTGGTTCTCTTCCAGATTTTCTTGATGACAGCTCGCAGCTCTTCGTTGGACTGCTCTAGATTACCTGCACCACAGGGAAACAAGAGTCGCTGAGAAACCAGCACTAACAGCCATCTTAACTCCTCACAAGCATGTTATTACTGGTAACAGAGCATCAGCAGTGTTGTAAGTGTTTTAAGAGGAGAGTGTTTTGGGTTTTATATTTCGCTCATACCTTCTGTTTTGATCTTCAGGGCAGTGCGCACCAGTGCAAACAAAGTGGCGTTAAACATGACCGTGCCGTCACTGTTTAGAGGCATGTTCATAGCTACCAGCCTCTGAAAGAAGAGCACATAGAGGTTTTAAACAAGGTTGAACAGTCCAGCATAATGATCAGCATTTATGTGTATATGTTTTATAAAAAAGATTATAAAATATGGGAGGAGCAGAGACCTTGCAAGCGACTCTGTGAGGGCACAGCTTGCCGAAGCCGAGAGGAGGCTGGATGCGACGAAGAAGTGTCACAACATCCAGATGCTTAATTCTGCCCCTGTGTGAGAAAAACAATCAGATGTAAAACCTGTACTGTGACAAATCACTGCACAGAAACATGACTGCGAAATACTGTACTATATATATAATAAATGTACTTTAGGTAATAAAGCACATACTTGGCCTCGGGGTCGTACTCTGACCAAATTCTTTTGAATTCATCGAGGTGGTGTGGACCAAGAATGGACCAATCACGTGTCAGATAGTCAAAGTTGTCCATGATGACGGCCACAAACAAGTTGATAATCTGGAGGGGCACAAGAAGATGGTCTCTCACGTAATTGTGCTTAGCATTGTGTGGCTGTTAAGCAATCGAGGTTTAAAACAAATCTAACAGCTCTTTGTGAATGCTACATGGTTTTCTATGAGTCTTGGAGACTAGATCCTTTAAACTAAATGAAACAATAGACATACATTGTTGTTGCATGAGTGGGGATTTGTTTTTGTGCTTGTATGATAATTGAAAAGGAACTATTCATCTATTATATTAACGACCCTTCTTTAACTGTAGCAAACGTATACATTTAAAATCTTTAATCTTACGGTCCTCTTGTGATACTGGTATGAAAAACAGTGCAGAAGGTAATACTACACCGCAAATACTGCACTTAATAAATAAGTACTAGCCAAATATTGTTAAATGTGTGTGATTACCAAGAAGGCGCAAAGCATGTAGAAGCTGATGAAGTAAATTATTGCAAATCCACTGCCACACGTCATCTCCTCCCCGGGGCCGTAGTCGGACTCTGGGTCACACAGTTTCCCTGCTATACAGGCCAACATGATCTCCTGCCACGCCTCTCCAGTGGCACATCTAGACAGGCATGAAAGATACAAAATGATTACTTAAATAAATGACCCAAAAAGAACACTAAGAACACAGTGAGTCTGTTTCCTGGTGACCCCTGACTCCAAAGTCCTTCACACCTGAAGAGGAGGAGCACAGCCTGAGGGAAAGTCTGGAAGTTGTTGTTTCTGTTGATGTGTGTGCCGTCCACCATGGCAACCTTTCCAAACACCTGAAGCAGAAATATAGCAAACATACAATTACCTATGACCCTACCAACTCCAGAAACACCTCTTCTATCACACTGTGTTACTCACCTGCATGCCAATGACAGCATAGATGAAGAACAGCATGGCTATCAGAAGAGCAACATAGGGCAGCGCCTTTAGGTCAAAAGAGAAAAAGAAAAAGGTTTAATATGGTAATAGTCCCTCGGTAGCAGATCAGGTAATCGTTTCACTGTGCCTCACCTGGAAGGATTTGATAAAAGTCCAAAGGAGGGTGCGAATGCCTTCCCCTCTGCTGAGGAGCTTGACCAGTCGCATGACTCGAAACAGTCGAAAGAAGGTGATTGAGATGCGAGCGCTGTCCTCCGTGTTCTGTGGAGAAACAGAACCGAGTCAGAGGACAGGAGAGGAGCCATGCATGAGGAGAACACAGGGCACCTGGCTGCGCTTCACAGCATGACAAGGTCTGAACTGAGACCCCGGTCAGAAACATATGGGCTGAGAAAGCACTTCGTCTTAAGGGCAAAAGTGCCTGTTTAGAGCACACCCATGCATTTTGCATTTGGGCATGAATTTGTTTTCTGCTCATGTGGCAACATCTATTAAGATTCAAATAGCAGAAATGATATACAGTAAATACAAAGCTGCAGATTCTGGCAAATATTTGATAAAATCATAATCCAACAGAGTGTCTGAAGCAGTGTAGCTCCTGCTGATATGTTTCTGTAATACTGTGTCTAAAGCACTGTCAGGTGCCCTGTCACTGTAAGACCTACAGGGAAGGAAGCAAGGAGGCAAGCATGCTGGAGAAAACCTTGCCATACAAGCATGGCACCCTCAGTCCAGAGTCACTGCATGCAGAGTCACAGTGGGGCCAACCCGAGCGGGTCGGCCAGGAGGTTCAGAGGTCAACCTGATCCCAGGGCTCACCCATGGGTCCCCACCCCACGCAAGTATGGTGGCAGAGACCATGAAGCGGTGTCAACAGCACAAACGTGAGGAGCGGCACAGAAACCGCTCCCACCTAACAGGACACGCAGCGTCACGTTTGAGTGACACACTCTCTTAAGAAATAAGTCCAAACATTTAGGAAAATTAAAAGCATATCTCTTTTAAAAAAAAAGTATATACAGTATGCAAACAAAACAAATGCAAGAAAAGAACATTCAAAGAATGGGAACATACCATGAGAAAGTAAATCAAATAGAACATAGCCAAAGATCATAGGAGGTATAATGGAAACATATCAAACCAGGAAATGCAGATCTAAACATGGCATGGCCCTGAAAGGGAGGAGGGGAGGGGAGGAGAGGGGGTTTGGGGGAGGAGCATCTTACCCCCTGCTCATCCACCACAGGTGTCTCCGTTGGCTTTAAAATCAAAGACCTGCATTAATGACTTGTACAGAGCCCGCAGGTCTCACACACATAATATGGCCAAACATATAAACATCACATTGGAAACTTTATCACACAACGGCAGCACACGTGAGACGCAGACAGAACAGAGTCACTACTCCTCTCATTGACGGGACAACAATGTCTTATTGTTGCACTATGACAAAGACAGACATTCATTTATCACTGTCTATGTACACTTAATTTAAGGACAGACATAAACACATTATCGTAAGACTTTAAACGTCTGCCACACAACAGGTTTACAGCTTAACATTCCTATGTAGGACTCGCAGTCAGACTGACAGACAACATGAAATTACTTCATTACTTATTAACATGTAGACTGACATAAAACTTTATCACTCCCCCGGTGTAATGGTCATAACTGATTGGTCATTACTGATGGGATTAAATGGATTTTATGGTTGAAATGTCTTCGCCGCTCTCCAGACAACGTTAATGAGAAGTTAACTGACAGATGTTTTGAATTCATGTCATGATAAAGCACCGTCAACTATTCTGCAGAGCCTCGACTCATAGCTAAACATGTTTCCTTTGTATTAACACTAAAAGGTCAGATTTAACTAGAAATCAAACAATCAAGTATTTTTCAACACACCTTCACAGAGTTATTACAATTCATGTCATTAACAATAAATCACAGTATATCGGCAGTATTAAGCGAGCATTTGTTCATATAAAGATGCAAAAAGAAATCGTTCAGAGGTGAAAGTTAAATTCAACCTGTACAATGATTTTTTTATAAAAGAATAAACTCAGCACTGAAAAGAGTCATATGAAAACAAAGAGATACTCCAGACAGATATGGCTTTGTTCAAATCCCTCAGCACGATACTTCACAAACCATCAATATGAGGTGCAGAATGAGCAGAAATCATAAAATTAAATAACAAATTAGCTTGAGGAGGTTCTTTAGGTAATCCTGGCCACAGCCTTGATGGAGCATGCGCTGCTGGGGAAGCACTGCACGCACACGCAAGGCATTTTGAGGATGAGGAGCCGTTGGTAAAGTCATAGCAATGCAGCAACTCATGCAACTCAGTAGTGCCTTGCAACAAAACTGCCATAGCAGGGCGCTCTCACAGTCCGGTGCAGAAAGAGGTGAATGAACAACAGAAGAGAGAGAGGAGGAAACCCAGAGAGAGAGAGACCAATACTGGGTCAGGAAGTAGAACCAGACAGTGTGAGTCATACTGGATGAAGAGGAGAGGCAGAGAGGTGTGAAGAGTAGAGAGTTACTGTAGGAGTGTTCATGCACCTGACTGGAGTCTACACACCTGCGCTACACATGAGCTCCACTGTGAGCTTTAAGAGCTCACTACAGGAAGACAGAACAAAACACAGAGACAATCACTCACAGAGACACAGACACAAGATCATCAAAGAACCTCAAACTCAGCTCCATCAAAACACCATCAGTGTAAGTGTACCAAACCAGGTCTAATTCAGTGTTTTCCGCTGAGAAATATAGGTTTACTGATTCTTACCTGATGACTGTATAATAAAAAAGATGCTGAGGCTTTTAGTTTAATTTGTGGACTGTACATTAAGACTAGTCTGTTTTAATCTCTACAAGTAACTGTTTCTATTAATGACAGTACGCTAATTAGTTTTTCCTAATATGATCGCATTGAATAAGAAATCTGTGAAGTTGCAGTGGCCTACACAACCTTAAGGAAAGTAGATGATATTACGTTAACGCAGTTCTCAGCTTTTCAAGGAGTTGAGCTCCACTGATTCTATATTAAAAATGTCCTTAATGTTGTGTAGGATGGATTTCTCCAAGCTCTGAGCTTCAGGGCCATTCTGTCTGGAGGGTAAAGAAAGATCGAGGAGTATGGCAAGAGAGAAAGGGCAAACTTCAAGAGGCTCTGAGAAAACTGACCGGAGGGGAAGGGAGTGAATGGCCGCGCGCCATCTGTATGAGGCGGGACATGGAGAGGATGTTAATGGAGCAAGGTGAATGGCTAACACGTCCCAGCATGCATTTGGAGAGGTCACAGCAGTCCAGTGAGAAACTTAACAATCACACAGCCTATGACTGGAATGGCAAGCAAGCAGCTTCAATTAATACATCAAAAACCCACTACAGATCAGCTTTCAGATATGTTTTGATAAAAGAGTTTCATATCTGATCCGTCAGTTTGCTTTATGACACAAACCACATGCAATGCAAACCACAAGTAAATGTAAATGATGGATAAAATGCGCCTCACAAGAATTACTATTAAAGTCCTTGTGAAATTGATATTATGCCCCCAACCTTCACAACACACATGTTTATACATACAGCACACCTTAAAGTATAGGCTGTATACATGTTAAAACACACATGCATAACAATTAAACCTGCACACACCACCACCATATGTTTTAAACAAAGTTAGTGCTTGTTTATACACTCATGCAGACACACATTTAGGAAAACAAACTGAGAAAACACAGAAAACATGAATTATAACTCCAGAAAAACAGCACTGCAGCTCAGACGTCAGGGCACTCAGGAGGGGGCGGGGGGGCAGGTTGAGCAGAGAGTCCCCATCATCACTTAACTATTGATTCTGGTCCTAATCTGTTTCTGGGGTTTGTTTGTATCCTTGAACTTCAAAACTGACTTTCTTTACCATTTGAATAAACTCAAAATAAACACAACAAAGTCCTTTACAGACTTAAGTCTTTGTTTTAGGTGTTTTTGTGAAGAGCAGAGCCATAAAGAGTTGTAGTTGGTTTAAGTAAAGAAGTAGTTATCTTATTTTTATTGAGCCTTGACATGAATTTCAACGAGACTGACTTTGATTAATACTGAAATACGCTTAAAGTAATTACAAATAAATCTATTTGATACTGTTCTACAACACTAACAAAAACCTATTTTTGCCTGAGTCAATAACATTTGATGACCAATGAATCCACTATAAGGGGTCCCGGAGATAAAGTTGTTATAGACAACAGGTCACACACACACGACGTTGTTGTTCATTGCCATACTTGCCTCAACAAGTTTCTATGAAAACAAAACGGACAAAAGTAAGAATTAGAAAACGTCATCATTAATCATCCTGCTCAAAACAAACATGCAGTACAGGCCTCAGATCACAAACAAATGTGAGAGGCTCCTGTTTTTGTTGTGCAAAGGGTTAACAGTCAGCATGTTCAGCAAACATTTTTTTATATTTTCTGCAACAAACAGTACTGCAACAGATTGAAAATAAAACATTTAGCAGAAGGTAAATTCCAACGACAGACTATTAGATGGACTCATTGTGCTGTAATGTAACAACAATAACAATAGGACATAAATGAAGATCAAACTGAAGCTTTACAGAATAAGCCAATGGCGCTTTAAAACTGTAAATGCCTACGTTATAGCATGCAAAGTACCATAATAAATATAGAAGCTCATAATTTAAAAGGCTACACTGAATACACTAGAGAAGTGTTTCCCAAAGTCTAAAGGGACATCAAGTGATTAAAGACAATACATAGTTGTTTTCTTCTTTTTGAAATACTACCTAGTTTTACTTCTTAAGGACTGAAAATATCCATTAATGAAAGAACACCCAGAAGAAGAAAAAAACATAGTTTCACTTTCACGGTCCTGGAGACAAAGAGGCTGGGAACCGCTGCACTAGAGGTTGAGAAAACATCTTACAAATGCCATGTGGCTTTTCTGTAAGGCTTCAGTTCAACTTGAAAAGCAGAATAAAGAAGTACTTACATTAACTTCAGTGATAGCAATATCGACGACACTACCGACAACAATTAAGGCATCGAATGTGTTCCAAGCATCAGCGAAATAGTGCTGTTAAATCACGACGGTACATATAAGGGAGGTGAGGGAAAAGATGGAAGCAAAAGACCATGAAGAGAAGGAGAGATGATCAGAAGAGTAGATTCATTGAAATGGCAGGGTCAGGAGAGGACAAAAAGAGAGACAAAAGGAGAAAAAGTGTTAAGATTTATCAGATAAAAAGCCAGAAGTTAGAGTCCTGCCATGGAAATCCGCAGTGTGGGCCGAGGGGGCCCGAAACAGAGAGAGGTCGGAGGGCAGCGGGGCTCGTTGCAGCTTTACTTACATCGATCTCACTGAGCACAATGTCTACTATGCTGCCCATCACAACCATGGCGTCGAACACATTCCAGGCATCCCCAAAATAGCCCTAAGTGAGGTGGAGCGAGCGGTGGGCAAGGTGGATGTGAGATCAGCACAAACAAAACGTCTTCACTCTTACACTGAAATAAAAACAGTCTAATAATTTCAGAAACACAGAAACCACTGCTGGCTACTTCAGCTGAAGTGCTCACTGCATTACAGTGCACGGAGATGTGCAGCATGTGGTTGATCTGCACCAAATTGATGTTGATACTTAAATCACATGCAGAAACACTGCTGCCAACAACTGGACAAACAGTGTTTGCTTTATATTGAATTAAAAGAAAGTCGCACTGCACCCCACACTGTCTCTTACTAGCAACCTGTCCTTCTTCGCAACACAGAGCTGTTGGCCAGGCAGTCGAGGGTAAAGTGAAAAAAAAAAGATTACTGACGCACCCTGCTCCACTCTTATACATAAAGGTAATAGTTTGTCATTTTGGAAAATAAGTGTATTTGATCTTTTACTGAAAGTTAGATGGAAGCTCTTGTCGGTGAAGACATTTGCGGGGGACTCACCCTGGGCTTGAAAGCGATGAGTTTGAGAACCATTTCCACAGTGAAGACAGCAGTGAAGACCATATTGAGAATGTCCATTACGTAGTTAAAGAGCGCTGACTGGCCGTAGTGCTGCAGAGAGATGAAAAGCACGGGAAAGGAAAACAAAAAAAAGGGAGAAGCTTGTATTCTTGTATTCAGTTTATTAATTTTACACAAAACAAAAAACCTGGTCAAAATGATAAAAAAAGAAACAAACAAATTGTACAATAAGAACAAATAGCTTTAAGAAGACTTCCATTAAAGCCAGGTAGATGTAAAAATAGTGTGTTTTGAAAGTTTAAGCTTTATAAGACGAGAGTAAGACAGTCAGAGGGGAAATGTGTGTTGCTTTTAGTCCATTTTTCTCTTTTCCCCTGCATCCTGCATTGATGTCTACCACAGTATTTATTTCAAATAAAAACCACTGGAGGGAGCCAAAATGAAACATTATAAAATTGTTTAGCTAGCACCAGGAAAATAAATTGCTAAAGTAACAAAGGCAGTTAGTACATCAAAGTCAGTTATTGATACAAAAATATATATCTTTTTTTATTTTCATCCATACCGGTGAAACTATCTTTGCTAATTATCTGCCATCAGCGTGTGATACATTCTGATGAAATCTTTATGAGATGTAGACATGTTTAAATACATATATTAGAGGATGTTATAAAACGTACATAAGAATTTTAGTTTTATATTAAACATATCAATCACAATAATGACACATGTTAACTGATCACTTCTTACCTGTACAGCCAGGCAGAGCGTGTTGAGCATAATGAGCACAAACATGATGTACTCAAACCCGGTGGAGTTCACCACGTACCAGAACTTGTACTGGTACGGGTTCTTAGGGATGTACCTCCTCAGTGGACGGGCCTTCAGAGCGTACTCCACACACTGACGCTGCACGGAAACACACAAAGACGGTTTCAGTGCTCATTTATTGACACACTTGATTCTTACATCTCAGTCCAACCTCGACTTTCTAACTTAAGAGACTTACTGCAGCCTATTTTATTTTCTGTTGAATAACTTGAAACCAGTATATTTTGAACACACACAAACACACTACTCCCCACATTTCGTAACCCCATGACTGACCTGATTTTTATCGAGTTTCACAGTTTTTGTACTCTTTCTCTCCTTGTTCCTGAAATGTGACAATCACAAACCTACAAAGATGTTCATCATGAAGAAAGCAATGATGATGATGTAGATAATGAAGAAGATGGAAATCTCCACGCGGGTGGTAGTGTAGTTGTAAATGGGTCCCAGGTTCTCCCTGTTGGAGTCGATTGCCTTGTAGAGCAAACTGAGAAGAGAGGACAACAGAGAGATCAAAACTCACAGGCCTAAACTATTATTTTAGTAATAACACTGTATCAGACTTCTATTGTTTCAAAACTCTAACAATGGGATTAAATATTTGAATCTTACGAAGGCCAGCCTTCAATGGTGGACACAGTGAACAGAGCCATCATAGCCATGAGGACGTTATCAAAGTTGAATTCGCTGTTGTGCCACATTCGTCTGTGATGGACGGCTGGTTCACATCTCCATCCTTATACAGGATGTACGTGCCCCTGAGAGGAAATAACATGTTAGGTACAGTAGGGGTTAAGACTGAAACTAGGATCACATTTGCAGGTAATCAGCTGTGAAGAAACACAGAAGAAAACTAACTTGCACTCTTCTGAGTTGGACTTTCCTTCATCCGTGCAGCGATAGAACTTTCCCTGTGGAGGAAAACGTGAAATGAAACGCTTATAACATAAAGTGTAAACCACTATCTGTTGCTACTTGTATGATGTGAATTTGCTGCTGACCTTAAATAGCTGCACCCCTATACAGGCGAACATGAACTGGAGCAGAGTGGTGACGATCATGATGTTTCCGATAGTTCTTGATGGCCACAAACACACACTGCACCACGTGCTGTAAGACAGAACAAAAAGATGTTGCGGAATCCACCCTGACTGTGTTATTATTGTGGAAAATAATGTAGGAGACTTCGGGATGAGACCTCACCTTTAGGCCTTTGGCCCGATTGATGGCCCTCAGGGGTCGAAGAACACGAAGGACCCTAAGAATCTTCACCACTGAGATGGCCGAGGACCTGAACAATGGAAGTTAATGGTGTGATGTCTGGCTAATTTGCCAATTTTTAGTTTTTTAAAGAAGCGCAGGGAAATGCAAACATGAATTTAAATCCAGTAGTGCCAGCAACAATTCAAAAAGGGGATTTTTGAATTGTTGCTGGAAGCTATTTCATTAAACAGGGCTCCAATCAGAGGGCGGTTGTTTCCTAGTTTAATTATACTCACTGAAGGCCAAAGGAGACAAGGGAAACCCCCCACCACCAACAGGTCGAGGAGGTTGAAGTAATTTCTACAGAATGCCCCTTTATGGAGAAAGGCTCCATATGTTGTCATCTGAGGAGACGACAGAGGAAGTTAGAGGAGCAAATGGCAAAGAAGAAATACACATATTTCATCCAACACATACAAGACACACCACAACACAAAGTCACACTGCAGAATACGCAGACACACATATTGTACTGTATTAACATGTTAAATAGGTAGAAAAACATATGCTAACATACATCACTCTATCTTACACACGCACACACGTCTCCACACTTTTGAAATCACTCTGATTCGGGGGGGCAACTCAGAGCAGTGAAACAGGAGGCTATATCTACCGTCGCCACCCCCACAGCCCTTAACTACATGAATGTAGTAGTAAGTCATTCATTTCACAATCAACTATGGGATGAGGCAATCAAACATGCATTTTGTTGCCGTGATGTCAGGGATCGTTACTACCTGCGAGAACTCTAGTTATAGTGATCGGAAAGTAGAAATGGCCTTACTGTCACATTCATGTGGACCGTTATCTTAAAGCACATTCCGTTATGTTCTTTAATAGTTCAGAATAATGGGAAGCAGCTCCCAATTAAAACTTCAGAGTTCAGCAGGCAGAGAAGAAAAAACAGCCAAAATAACTCTTCTTTCAAATAATAAAAGTAAAGGATTAATTTTCAAGTGCATGTAAATGTGGAGCCTTGCAGAGAGCCGGAGAGAAGAGAGCGCTAACCAGGAGCTTTTGGGAGTAAGAGATGAAACTTGGCAGGTTTTTTGCCAAACGGCTGCAGACGCAACTCCACATTTCTATGCACTCAGTCAGGGAAAAGCAGACTGAACCATGCTCGGCAGGAACATGGTTGGTTTTGCCCCCTCTTTTATGAGTAATCTGAAGAGCAGTCAGTACGAGCGGCATGGAGTCAGCTTTGACTGGAGTTGATTTCAAACACCTCCCTGAAGATGACCTCGAACTCAACTTCAGCCAATGCCTTAAAGATGTCTGAACAGCCCATTAAAATGTGTTGCACAAAGGGTTGCATCATGTTTTTTTACATATCTCCATCATCAAAATCATGTCAGCGATGACTGCCCCGGATGACGTGACACCCATGTGATATGTAATGTATGTAGATGTTTCCTTCCCCCAACTTGAGTTCTTTGATTAGTGTATTTTGAAGAAATCTGTTTGTGTAAGTGTGTGCAAAGTTAAAACTCCAATATTTGCTAAAAGAGGTGCCATGAAGAAAAAGGAAATAAGAGAAAGGAAACAAACAAGGCCAGGTTGTACTGAGTGGCAGGTGACACACAAGGAGAGAATGCAGCAAGGCTCTCGTTGTCATTTAAGGGGTTACCTTCAATACGATCTCAAATGTAAACATACTAGTGAAGACATAATCTGCATAGCCTAGGACCTGGAAGGCAACGAAACGTTTGGAGTGTTATTGGGGTACAGTTAGGCACAGCAAGGACAGGGGACATGGCATTTACCTTCAATACGATCTCAACAGTAAAGATAGCCGTGAAAGCATAGTCAAAGTAACCAAGTATCTGCAAAAAGCAACGTACATGTTTAACAAAGACAGTTCATCGTGCAGCTTCATACATCATATTAAAAGATGAATGAGATAAAGTACATCTGAAGTATTTTCTGGAAAGAAGTCGTTAGGATTCAACACAAAGCTCTAATTAGTTCAAGGTGATTTTACTCCTGTATCTTATGCAGATTATATCATTATCAAGCATAAAAAAAGTAAAAAACTACACAATAACCAATATTATTGAGAACAGTCCAGTAGAAATTATAGCAATGCACTGCAAATAAAACATAAAGCTCTCTGGTTGATTGTTTGCTTCCTGTACCAGTGTGTTGCCTCTTTGAGCTCATAAAAATAAAAGTTAATATGCTTTACATTATTGTCAACCATAAACTAAAAACTTCCTGATGGAATTGTGGCTTCATTTAAATTCTGAAACGCAACACTAGCTTGACATAAAGCATCTCACTTTAAAATATTCATCGCCTTTTATTTTGTTTTGCTGTGTCCTCACAAGCAACTCTTTAAAAGCTTTCCTTTACGGTGCATTCAAGGACACGCTGTGATTTGTGAGCCATATTACATTCATAAGCTTTGTTGCTGTTAAAACAATTCCAGGAGACAAACAACATTTAAAAAAAGCTTGCTACTGAGTACATAAACTGCTAAATCATGAATGTCGGAACAAAGCAGCCTGAGCGTGGACCTCTCCATTCAATTTGGACAATGTGTAATTTCAAGCATTGATCCCGGCGTCTTGACAGGAACAGCCTTTGTTCTGGTAATTACTCTGTATGTATTGTTATGGATTCTAAACTGCAAGTCATATTTTTGAAATGTATTATCAAGGACATGATGGATGACATAGAAGCAAAAAACCTGTTTTCCCTTTATCTCTGCTTCTTTTGGCCCTCGTGGAGAAACATAATAAGAAGAAGAACAGCAACAGTGGGACAAAAGCATATATGTTTTTCTGATAACATCTCTCTAAGAATATATTAAAACACACTTAAATCTTCCTAAGACAAAGCTGTTTTCAAGATGCTGCCTCAAAAGAAATAAATCACTTTATAACCTCAGGTGGGAATGCTTTATAAAAGGTTCAGTAGTTATGTAATGTACTGTATGTATGTTTATAATTGGGCTAAATCATGCAAAACCACCAGTGTGGTCAACAAATTATAACACCACTGTTGTTGAATTATTTTACTTCAGCCCCTTATCTTCGCTACACAGTTTCCTAGAGCCAGTAAATACACTTCTTGTGAAGGTTCGTAGACTTACTTGATTGCGAGCTGAGGAGTTTCGGATGGGATCCTCAGCAGCAAGAGAGACGGAGCTGAGCATGATGAACCCCAGGATGAGGTTGGTGAATATGTGGTGGTTGATGAGTTGTGGCAAACACCCGAAACCTAAAGAAGAAAGAAAAATAGAGCACAGCCCGAGACATCAGTGTGATCCGAGGTCTGACCGTGGTGTATGTGTCCGTGTGTGTCGCTGTGTGCTTCATACGGGTTGGTGGTGCTGAAGATGAAGAAGGCACTTCCCTCTGGGATAGGGGTGATCTTCTCCTTCTTTACCAGTTCAGAGATGACCGGCCGAGGCCCTGATGGCACCTCTGGATCCTCCTCCTCCGCTGCAGTGTCCTCAATCTCCTCCTCTTCCTCCTGACGGCAAGCAGAGCGTTTTTAAAGTGGTGTTTAACTCCTCAAAATGTAAGATAGGGTATTGTTTTAATTCAGAAAGTAAGAATACCTTTTCCTCTTTTTCGTCCTCCTTTTTGTCCCTGTAATGAATATAGATATTGTTATACACGATAAGGAGTTTGAGTATATACATCTGGGCATGTTTGCCACAGAATGACATGGTAGGAGATCAGCAGTCACCCTTTCTTGGGTTCGTCTGTGTTGAGAGACTCTGCGTCTGCCAAGTTGTCCACAGCGATAGCCAAGAAGACGTTCAGCAGGATATCTGAGCAAAGTGTTCGGTAAAGGACAACGCTCTCTGTAAAAACACCATTAATAAAAAGATGAATGTAGGTTAACTCATGTTCTCTCAGTTTCAGCAGTGTTGCGCATGGCGGAGGATACAGTTTCCGCAGATGAAGAGGATGATGAAGTAAAAGCACACAATCATCCCAGAAGAGGAAGGGCCTCCGTACGCCATGATGCCATCGTACATCACAGCGTTCCAGTCTTCTCCGGTCAGGATCTAAAATGTATCAGAATATTAATTTTGTGGGAGAATAATCAACAGCAGTTTTCTCACATGTATAGAGTTCATTGTCACGCGCCACCTTCCAATCCTTGCTTTGAGGCTTTAATGAACCCATTAGAGCTGCTTTAAAGGTCCCCTATTATACTGTTTTTCATTACTTTATTATAGGTCTCAGATGTATACAAACATGTCTCTGAAGTGTTTGGCTCGAAATACCAAACAGATCATGCATTGTAGCATCCCATAATCCCCTCTGTTTCAGCCCTGTTTCAAAAGTGCTGATTCTCTGTCTTTTACTTTAGATGAAAATAAGGAGCCCCTCCCCACGCCCCTCTGAGAGATATTTGGTTAAAAAGAACACAATGGTGCTCTAGGAGGAGATTCAGGTGATAAGGTGGGGGGGGGGGTTACCTTGGATGGTTATTGGCTAATGGTTACACAAGACAAAAGACCGTTATGACATCATAAAGTGGCCAAAATCTGATCAGCTCATTTTCAGACAGGTTTTCATAAAATGGATCAGGACAAAAAAAGAGAGAATCTTTTTTTCCTGAAACTTTCAGAATCTCTTTACACAGAGGGGTGTTCATGTATTTATGTATAAAATACATGAAAAAGTGGATTTTGCATAATAGGTGACCTTTTACATGGACAAATATACTCAATGTATTTGATTGATACTTAGAGAGTGTATTGTTCTAGTAATTAAAAATAATCTTTGGGACTAACAGATAAAGGTTGATTAGAATTGAGATGTATCTAGAGACAATGTTTGGCACACGTTTTGCATTTGTCCATTCATTTATCTTTAAACACCAACCAAAATACTGAATATATACTAAGCAGTACGTTTGGCAGTTCAGTTTGATGGACTATGACAAACTATGTGATAGTGACTCTTCTTTAATTACATCAAACCTTGCCTGGCATTTCTTTACTACTACTCTCTGCAGTGAGCCAATACTGGGTTATATATCAGCCATATTGATTCATTGCTCTGGCTCTGTTTCTCTTCTCCCTTCAGCAGTCTGTAAAACCTCTTACCATGATTATTTCTAAATCTGAATCACACGACAGCGTTTTTCATTTTTATCTGCATTTGAAATGTATTTTCCATAGGATGCACCAATGGGCAAACACTGATTGCTTTTCGTACTGTGTTGTCCTAATCTGAACAGTATATACCTGAAACACTGTGAGGAGGGCTTGGGGAAAGTTGTCGAATGTACTCCTCTTGGTCTGGGTCTCGTCAAAGTTGAACTTTCCACCAAAGACCTGCATGCCTAGCAGCGAGAAGATGATGATGAAGAGGAAGAGCAGCAGCAGCAGGGAAGCGATGGACTTCATGGAGTTGAGCAGAGACGCCACCAAGTTACTTAGAGACTGCCAGTGACTGAAGTAGAGGAGAGAGAAAGAGAGAGACAGGTGATTAACTGAACACCACACACACACACACACACACACACACAACACACACACACCACACACACACACACACACATCACACACACACACACACACACACACACACACACACACACACACACACACACTAACAGTCTTACCGTGTGACCTTGAAGATTCTCAGCAGGCGGACGCAGCGGAACACAGAGATACCGAGAGGAGACATGATTGCCAGCTCCACCAGGATGGTTTCAGTGATTCCTCCACACACCACGAAGCAGTCAAAGCGGTTGAACAAGGACACAAAGTAGCACTGTAGCCCAAGACTGTACATCTTCGTCAACATTTCACATGTGAACAGGGCTAGCAGCACCTTGTTGGCCACATCTGAAACCCAGAGAAAAAGAGATAACATTAAACAAATAAATTGGAGCGATATATAAGGGGTTTAGGATGACACTTAAGGACAGTAGGAATGTTGCTAAAAAAGAATGCACAAAATGGTCGATGGTGTTAAAAAAAAAAAAACTGCATTGAAATAAATGTTATATAAATAAAACTGAAATGCATAAAGTGTTCACTAACATTTTATTTTTATTATACATTCCTAATAAGAAAATTGGAAAAATGTGCATCACAACATACACTATTTAGAAATCCCATAAGATGTATGTTCTCCTTCCCCTAGGTTTCCACCTAGCTTTATTGATTTGTAAAATCAATAGATAATTATAATAATAATAATAATAATAATGCAATCATTATAATAATTCATACCCTGCACTTGTGTCAGCCACATAGGCTGGTTGTAATGCTCTGAGGATATGGTGAGTGTGTTGAGGAACACCAGGATGATGACCAGCCAATAGAAAGGCACCGATTTGACAGCCAACCGGCACTTCCTGCGGCAGAACCTGTTCCAGCGACGCCAGCGCCGACTGCAGGAGGAGAAAGCAACGTTAGTGCAAAGAAAAACACTACATGTGTCACGCTTTGCTAATTCATTGATTAAGAAGTACACATGATTTGGTCACAAATATTACAGTGTCCAAACAACAGAATAAATACATCACCTTAGTGTTTCCTAACAAAATCACTACAGTCTGTATCCAATAATAAGGAGAATGCAAAGGAGTGAGGGAGAAGAGCCACGGGGGAACTGCATCAATACTTTTTTGCAAGTCACACGTTACAGTAAATGAGGTGAAAAATACTGCGTAAGACTGTTCTCTAAAAATACCTTAAGGTACATGCTGACTTTCTAAAAGCTGTTGATTATCATCCTCAGTAAAGACTCTTAAAATACAGTAAAATGAAAGCCAAGCACTTAAAAATAAAAATCTGTATAATATAATGTTGGGCATGAACCCCGATAGCAAAAGCTGTATGCACCATGCAGAGACAAAGACTCACAAAGATACTGACCTGAACTTTGACTTTGAAATTTTTTGACTGAAAGAAAGAAGAACGTCAAAGTTTACAAAGGAAGGTTGTAGCAGAGGTTTGTTAGGCATAGAAGATGTCCCAACCGCAAAAGTCAACAGAATTAGAGTAGGAAGTCAATATACATGCCAAGTTTTTATTGTGGCTGTTTGTCCTGTAACCTGAAAAGCAGAGTTTCTTTTAGACTGTAGCAACGCTCCAAGCAGCTATCTGTTTGTATCTTAATTTGAAGTAAAAAAAAGTGTTGCTGTTTTTGAGAATGTTTGTTGTTCTCACCACAGAGGTCCCGCAGCATGGTGTCTTTCATCCTCCCCGTTTTGGTTCTCTGTGTTCACAGATTCTGTTTCGCTCGCTGGAACGCTCGCTGCAGCAGCAAATAAAGCAAATAATTACAAAATAATACTCGCTTCACTGTGGCAAACCACATTCTTCAGATTCAGTGCAGTGGCCTCCCAGGGGCAAGAAGTGTGAAAAGAAATAAATCGGAGACTGCCTTTCTCACATCACGTTATTCTGACAGGAAGTTTCTTCAAAAGGAAGTGAAAAGAGGCACTGAAGGAACACATTTGACTAATGAGGCAGAGATTTAAAAAAAAAAAGGGATCATACTCCCAAGCCTACTGTATGTGCGTCACAATGATTTGATACTGATTTTAAAAAATAAGCAACATAAGTGATTGTGTTTTTCAATTGCTAAATCACGTTACAGCTACAAAAACTTTGGACCTCATAGAGAGGAAGGAGCTTAGCACTGTGGCTGTGCATCACTGTCATCATTAGTACATTTACCAAGTGCTGAAAGGGAGCTGACACGGGACAGGCGAGTGGACAGCTGCTCTATGAGGGCTGACTGATGCAGACAATGAGGGAGCAGAGGGAAGAGGGGGAGCCGGCCGAGGGAGGACAGAGCTCTTAAAGCTGTCTCTGAAATGCTACACTCAAAGTACTGCCAGCGCTGCGGAAAGACTTTTCTGCGCAGACAGATGATTAACTGTGCGAAAACGTCTCATTGCTTTAACTCGTGGTGAGGGAGCGTGGTGTGGTGCCGCTGCTTTAGCTTATGTAGACGTGTTGGCTTGATTCCTGAGCGGGTCGGACAGCTCTCAGCTCTGAAAATAGTGCTGACTGCCTGGAGTAGTGATCTGGGTTAGCCCTGTTTTCCTATATTCATGACTGAGCCACCTGCTTTTAAATGGGACATGGAAAGGAAACGGGGCGTGCCTGCTATCCAACGCAGTCCGCAATTTTATTCCATATGAGACAATTTAATAGTAAAACATAAAAAAATGTTTAGAAACAGAAGACCTTTAAAAAGGAAAAAACAAGTGGGGAAAAAAAGGGAGAGAACAAAAACCTGGAAGAGGCTGTGATGCTCGGACACAGACAGGTTTGACAGAAAATAGTAAAGCACAAAGTGAATGTCACAGGCACAACACACACACGCGCACACCAACACACCTCTGGATGCTCCAACTGGGATCTTTTATGCCACTGTTGTCTTACACTTCTGATTCATTTGTTTTTTTAAAGGTTTGTATTCACCAATTATGTGGAGTGTTTGTAGATAACAGATCAATGATTCTTCAATGATAGATTGTAAGTCGCTTTGGATGAAAGCGTCAGCTAAATGATATGTAAAACAAGAATAATAATAATCACTTAAATTAGAGTTGTAAAGTATTATGTTTCGTTTTTTGAAGCAGCAGCAGCAACAGTGATCCTCTGGCACTTTAGTGGTGTTTTTTAATTTAATATGTTCTAATTATGAAGTTTTTATTAGTTATATTTGTGTTAATGGTTTTCCTGTCTGTCCTGTTGCCCTATGAGTTAATCAAGGCAAGTTCTGTTTTTTATAAAAAGGCAAACAATCTATCCAAACATTAGTCTTAGTCTTGATCTGATTCTGGTCAAATTGACCACATTTTCCCGTAGCAGATTCATTTGAGCATCAAACACTCACATACACACACATACACAAAAGCAAGAGAACACTGGAGGGAAACCACAGGATTTACCATGAGTGTCGGACGACTGGCTGAACCACCCAAACCTTCCTTTCTTCTTCTCAGTAAGGTCAGCCAGAGTCACCCCTTCATGTGTAATGCATCAAGCCCATGCATTCAGACACAACGGCACAGCAAGGGACAAGGGGGGGCGAGAATGGGCTGCTAATCAAAATGGGTCAGAGCAGACAAGCACCACCAGGACAACAACAGTATTCAAAATATCAATATCTGACAATGACAAGAGCAGCAGGAGCCACGGGGGCTGGGGACACTGAGGGAGGGCAGAAGAACAACACGGAGAGCCGTTAGTCACTGAAGGCGCCTGCAGGTGACGAGGCCCTGCGCTAACATGTCACAGTGCTAAGTAAAGCATGTGCATGGCAACGTGTTAGCCGGGGATCGTCATGTATCGTCGTCAGACACCAAAAGCCGGGATGGGTGTGCGGACCTGCCTCCCCGTCACACAGAACCTCCGCGGATTAGGGAGCCTAAACTTTAACTCTATATGTCAAGTATGACTAGAGGAAAAGACAGGTGGGAGAGGCGACAGTAATGGACAGAGTGCATTAAAAAATGAGGGGGGAGATCGTAATGAGAAGACAGAATGTAAAAAAATAAAGATTGTAACAACTCAAACTAAAGGTGCATAATGTTGAAGTTCTGCATCATGTGCTGCTTATATAAAGAGGATTTGGATTAAGAGTTTCTCTACTGCTCAAGTAACATGTTTTTTCCTCTTCTCAGATAGACTGTAAGGGTAGTCGCAGCGTGCTCCACTTCTATCAGTGACTGCCATCGAGCATGAAGATAAGAACAGTCTGTACCGCTCTGCTTCAAACACCTCATGCATCTATGTTATGTTGGTATGAAAATGTATGTGTTCTTTGATCATAGTCAGGAAAGTCTCACTGAGTATAGCTGAAATATTGTTCATCATTATGGGGAATTCCATCATGAATTGTAAATAAATCATTAGATTATAAAATGTGTAACATTAGCTGACCTTTTACCTGCAGCTTTGATCGATCAGCAGGCTTCACCTATTTCTGCTTCACTTAGTAATTTCCTACAATTCCCATGATGACTTTCCGATAAAACGTAATCAGACCAACATCAAATCTGCAAGACTTTTGCTTTCGTCTGTCGGTGGAGAACGTTGAAATGATGTCCTCTCTGTTGGATTTCTTCTTACATGATTGTTAAAAGAGGAGCAACATTGTAGGGCTAAAATACGAGCAAATGATCTAGATTGTAGGTTCGTTATAATATAATAATAATATCTGCTGTTTCTGTGCTAGATATGTCTAAACATGATTGACCAGTTATCTAAAGCAATAAGAAGAATAGAGTTTTCTAACACTAAATAGACACAGGCATGCAAGCATTGGTTTGGTTTTAAACAGTATAAAGGGATACATATCTCTCTTAAAAAATCTAAACATTATCTCAACCTAATCAACTTTGAAAAAAATAAAACTCCAACTATGACACATTAAAGATTCTAGGGTACAAACTGATGCATTTCATTATTATATATAAATACTCTAAATAATAATAATTCACAACCCACTCAAGCTACTAATAACTGCAGGATAGATTTTCTCAATGTGGTCCTAACAGACTCGATCAGTTTGTAGTATTGAAGGGCTCTTGAGATGCTAGCGCAGCGTTTCTGTGAGGAATGGGAGAAGGTGCTTACGGTTGCGCTTGGTCTCATCGGCCTCATCCTCGTTGTCCGGGTCGATGTCCTCGGCCTGAGTGATCCAGTCCAAGTAACCCTTCAGATCCTCCTCCAGCTGCTGCTTCTCCCGCAGCTTCTGGAAGTCTCCCCGGGCTTTGGCTTTCTCTCTCTCCTTGGAAAACTCTCTGGGTTCGCAGAGGGACACACAGACCAAACAGGAACACATACAAAAGAGTGCATGAATGACCAAAAAACACACACAGGAAAAGATTATGTTTTTTCAACATGCAATGGAACAGTCTTCCTTCCTGTATTAATCAATATGCATTATTATGATATTTCACTACATTGAATAAATATTATCTACATATTCACATACGTAAATCCAGCTTTTAAATGCCTTGTGTGTTTTTTTTAACCCTAGCCACTGGAGGGAGTTGTACACCTTTGAAAGCGAACACAGCACTATATTTAGATCCCGACAGTACAGTAGTGTATCCTTCAGGCGAGCGTCTTAATCATACAGAAAAGGCAATTTAGGTGGACAGATGGTTTCAAGACACACAAAACATTTGCACAGCATCTGAATTCAAAGATTATATAAAATAAAGACCGTTGAAACTAAAATATGTGGGGATCCAGAAGACGGTGTGTAAATATATTCAGTGAATGTTGGGATATAGCATTACTGAGAGAAATATGTATTAAACTGTGATAATTAAAAAAGAAAAGGCATTTAGGAAGCTGACAAATAAATTATGCCAATCTAAAGAAAGAGACTGCAAGTGTCTGTGTTGATGATTCTGTTAACCTTGTTGGATTTTTTATTTTTTTAAATCTGGGTTTTCAGGCTGGTCAACCATCCAGAGTTAATTCTACTGTAATACCCCACCCCCACTCCACAGAGCTGGGGAAGCAAACTGGGGTTTGAGAGAGCTTAGGAGCGCAGAGGGAGTGAAGGGCGAGGAATAAGATTAATTTCTCTCTCAGGAGGTTGGGTGGGTTTGAGGACGGGGAGGGAGAGGAAACGCTCACTTTGCAGTTGCCGTGGAAAGGACGTGATTTTTTTTATGCCAACAGAGGTCAGAGAAGAACGCCTGAGAGAGAATATTCATTTATCTTGTGGTCTTAACACAGAATAGATAAAGTCGGGTATAATATCTTAATATTTGTGTATCAAAATTGTCAGGATCCTTACATCCCAAGACTCTGCAGCACAGCCTTACTTATTTATAGGCTAAAACTCAATAGTAAGCAGTGCCAGAGTGCACAACAAACACTGCACACGCTTTGCACACTGCACTCCAAAACCACTGCACGAATTTCCTCTTACCCACTTAGCACACCTAACACAAGGTTTAACACGAAAAAGGATCCCAGTATGATCAGGGTAACAAAATAAACACAGGGTGTTCCGAAGCCGATGGCGTCATTGACCTACAGGAGCCAAAAGTAGGCGGTTAACAGACAGAAACACAAAGAGCAGAGACCCTCCAGCCTGACATCAGGTAGAAGGTCTCTGTTTGCAAAGAGAGGAAAGTGCTTACCCGCTCAACACACCCAAAACCAGGTTAAGAACGAAAAAGGAGCCGAAGATCACAAGACTGACAAAGTAAACCCATGGAAGCTCTAAGCCCATAGCATCGTTCATCTGGAGAAATAAGCATAGGCACAGAGGAAGGAGAGGAGTGGGAAGAGAGGAAGAAAAGAGTGAAACAAACTGTCACAGGAAAAAATAGAACAGCTTTTTCTTCAGATGGAGAAGAATAGAGATCATGCAGGTTCATTAAAAGTAGCAGGACAGCATGTTATTGTTGTTGTGAGTTGTTGAATGCATTCAATCTTTTATTCAATCAATCATATCAGAGTGATAAGAGCTGCCTCAAGACGTTTTCAGCAGCGTCACCATCACAATGTCAGTCACATGTTGGTCTGATGTGAGAAGACATGTAATCTGAAGCCGGCTGGCAGTCACATGATATTGGACTGGGAAGGCAGAGACTCACCCAGTACAGCACGTCCGTCCAGCCCTCCATGGTGATACACTGAAACACTGTGAGCATGGCAAACAGGAAGTTGTCAAAGTTGGTGATGCCTCCGTTTGGACCGTGCCAGCCTTCCCTGCACACGCTGCCGTTGATGGGGCATTGACGCCCGTGCCCTGAGATCGCACATGGAGCTGGTTCCTCTTCTGCTATCGTGTCTATAGAACGAGAGCATCATCAGCATTGTGGGAAATGACTGTTTTTTAAATATTTGATTATTTTAAACAGGGGTCTCACACAGTATTTGGAGTAATCAAACAACTTTCTAGCAAGACTGTAACATTTGCAGATATATATGAGATGTGTAAAGTAGAAGGTGTACTCATCAAGAGGGCTTACCCACGCCAGGAATAAAGCAGGTTGCGTGCATTTTACCGATGAAAAGCTCCAGGCCGATAATAGCATAGATGATGATGACAAACAAGACCAGGAGGGCAATGTGGAGCAGAGGGACCATGGCTTTAATGATGGAGTTCAATACCACCTGTAAACCTAAGCAAGGCAGAAAAAGAGACATTTTATATGGAGCTTGGCTGCACTTTGCACAGTAATACAATCCAGCTGCTTCTACTTTCTACCACTCTCTATCCCTGCGATTACTGCAAATACAATCATGATGGTTTACATTTCAAAATATGAAATCTACATTTTTTTACACAACATTCACCATTAAATATGCAGAGGTGGAAAGGTATTCAGATCTGTTTACTTCAGTAAAAGTACTAATGGCACATTACGATGAAATACTCCACCCAAAGTAAAAGCCCTGCATTCAAAACCATTTCCATCCGGACTAATAATATATAAACCTTAAACTCACTATTAAAAAAGGACTATCTATCAATGGCTAGGATCATTAAACAATATGAACAGAAAATAGGTGGTAAACTGTATGTGTTGGGTAAGAGTTGTCTGTGTGTGGGTTCAGCTCAGTACTCACTGGGAACTCCTGAGACCAGCCGCAGGGGTCGCAGCACACGAAAGGCTCGAAGGGCTTTAACATCGAATCCACCTCCGGGTTTTCCTGCGTGACCATGCCCTGACGGATGGTTAATTTCTCCTTCTAATTCGACTTCTTCCTTATCTTCTTTGGTCAAAAGCTCCAAGACAACACTGAAGAGTCTGTGAGAACACAAAAACCTCACACTATGAGTCTGCTGAGGAAAACATGCTGTATGACATACAACAACGTGTTTGCTGATATGTATCTTATGTTAGTAGAGCTCAGTCAGTCTATTCATCGATAATTAGTTTACAGACAGAAGATTAACCGGCAACTACTTTGTCATGGTCCAGTGATGGTTTGTCAATGGTGAACAACATGAATTCATAATACATCCTTCATTCATTTAAGATTTGCACCCTTATTATAAAGAATTACCAATACGTTGTCATACATAAGCCCAAGCACTGTACAGAAAACAGACTGTTTTGTATCATCCATAATCACACATTCAATCATTTCCATTACAAATTATTAATTAATACAACTTTTTATTCGTACTTAGTTACTTTACATTTACTCCCTTAACTAATTGTATTAACTGTAACATATTGTATCTCATGACACAGCTAATCAATTGTGGTTAGCTTAACAGCTGATAAATCAAGCTTTTAGCATGGTAACCTAATTACTGAATCAACCACTAGGAAGTTCTCTCGCACATAATATATTGTAATTCTGGGACTCTATAATAGTACCATAGGCTGAAAACATTTACAAAACCTTCTGAGACATCTGAAGCTTAAATTAATTCCTGGCTGAGAGGGTTTTAATTGAATTGTGGATACCTCAAAGCATTATTTAGCTGTGAAACTATAATGTAGCATGTGTCATCAGTTTACTTTACAGCCACCCACAAACCATACTGATATCACCAGGATGCATTTGAGTTTACAAGAGTGCTACAGCGGAGAAAGCTGAATACAATGCACTGATAATGTTAATAAATCGTATATAAAATGGGAAGTTAACACTGTAGTAGTAGCTTCCACATATTCATAGTGTTTGTAAAAAACATTTGTTTCAATATAAAGTCATGGCTGATGCTGAAAGTGCATTACAGCAGTATTTTACCCCTTTTGTCTCAATATCTATGCCAATGAAAGTATAAAGACGGCAGAAGAATGTTTTCAAAAGTGGCCTAAAAAGGGAAATCAGCAGTGAAAAGACCTTTAAAGAGGTCACTGCATCACAGTCAGTCAGACATTCCTCACCTAGCCAAGAGGGGAAATCATCTGGACACATCACATCAAAGCTGTGCACTAAAGGCAGTGAATGGAGCTGCCGATGGGAAGGAGTTCTGAGGGCCTGTGAGCGCAGTCTGCTCAGACTTATGTTGAACTGAGTCACAGCTGCAAGACTGCCCATGTGCCACCGGGGTATCATTACTCATTCAGTCATGTTCAAAGGAAAACATATCGACACCTTTTACCTCCTTTGTACTCCTCCTACTCCTAAGGAGATCCAGCCTCGTGAATTTAATGCTTTTTTACAAGGTTAAAAAAGGGAATCCTCACATCAAGTGGTTTAAACTGGTTAAACCCGTTAACAACAAATCACTTTACAATTATTCATTTTGTGTACAGCGCTTACTGTGTTTGAGGAGCTTCATTCATTAGTTTCTTCTATTTTAGGCATCCAATGGTTCAAAATTAATTAATTTACTGCTTAAAAAGAACTGCTAATTGATTTTAAAATGCTGTGCAGAAAATAATGAAAAAACTTGAAAAACTATACATCATGGTTCTGAGTACATGGTGAAACAAAAAAAACACATATTTGTAAATTGAAAATCGATACAATTTAAACACATTCATCACTGCACAACATTAGTGTTCAAAGTTGTTGGCGCTATTTTCTTTATGTTTTGGTCTCCACCGACTCCTTTGAGAAATGTAGAGTACGTCACCAGCTAGTAAAAAGCTGTCAGGAAGAGCAGATTAGAACAATCCTTCTACATAAAGGTTAGTTGGAGTACCATCTCAGTACATACAGTAATTAATTGTTAATGAAAAAGTAACATTTAGTTTAGTTTAAGAGCTTTAAATACACTGGAATGATACAAGTAAAGACAAATCGTATCTCATAATTACTCACCTTCACTAATCTACCCTCAAAATGAAAAATGTCACTTTTGTAAGTTCAATTCAATAAATATTTGTTTTCATGACCTTACTGTTATTATTTGTTTTGTTGCAGAGCCATTTTATATTTCTTACACCCACTTTATTATACATGTAATACAAAAACCGTTTTAATAAATCTTTCCACTTGGGTATGGCTCTTTTCTTGATTAAATAAGTAAAAGGCTTTTTATCGTAACCTCAGACCTTACATGTCTTATTTAACTTGCATTTAAACATATTTCTCTCTAACAAGAGCATTATTAAAAAAAAACTGCATTCAAGCCCTAGTAAAAGCACAGCTGAAACTCCAACCCCTCCCTACTTAGGCTGAATGTAGGCTGAACCTTGACCTTATGGCATACATTTATAAAGCCATATTGACAAAGCTATATTTGAATACTGGCAGTATTATTCCAGTGTGTCATTTCAGTGATTTAGCTGCAGCGGTCGATCTCCATAGCAGACGTCTTTGCATTTGACTGCATGGCAGATCAGCCCTGCATGCTGCATACAGACAGAGATTTGACCCAGCTACCCACTGGACTGTGTGTAGGAGAGGAGAGAGAGGAAGGAAGATAGGAGAAAAAAAGAGACACTGCGATAAGGATGAAGATAACGAGAGCAGAGTGTGCACGGGATAAGGAAGAGGGGGGGATTGAGGTGGGGAAGTGTAAAGCATGACGTTCAAGATCAAAATGGAAGGGGGAAGTATAAGAAAGAGCTGCAGAGACAACGCAAAGCAGGATGGGAGAGTGGGAGAAGAGAGGAGAGGAGAGGAGAGGAGAGGAGAGGAGAGGAGAGGAGAGGAGAGGAGAGGAGAGGGAGAGTTGGAGAAGAGATGAAGTATGGAGAGATGGTGACTCACTCCAGTGGTGGTAAAGCTCTGATTTATTCTCTCTGTCTTTTCTGGGTCATACACTGTGGGTGTATGAGGGTCTCTGTTAGCACTTGGTCGCTTGGAACAGAGGCTTAAGCAACTTTCACTTGAACACTGACTGCCTCTCTCAGAAACACTGTCAAACGGCAGCTGTCAAACTGAGAACAATGTGCAAATCACAAAACCTCATGATTTACGACACGTTGTTCAGCTGGCTTGATGCCAAATGAAGCAGGAACTAGTTTTAATCAAATACATTGTTTACTTTCAGATTAAGTATATTGAAATATCTAAACTCGATGACTCACCCTATGACGACAATGACGAAATCCAGCATGTTCCAACCGTTTCTCACGTAAGCGTTTTGGTGCATCACCAAACCATAAGCGATAATCTTCAGAAAGGTCTCAATTGTGAAAATGATGAGGAAGGCATACTCGACTGTTTCCTGCAGACACACAGAAAATAGAAGAAGAATAGATTTTTTATAGGAACTACATATGATGGATTATCATGAAAAAGCATGAGCATGGCATTAATAACACACACACAGGAACAAACACTGAAGCACAAATACAGCAGCATACAGAAACAAACATATACAAAAATGTGGTGTAAACATTTAAATCCAGCTCTGTAGTATTCATGAATGTACCGAAAGAGAAAAGACAAAACAACTTTACAAACGGGAGTGAAACATGTGCAAAATAATGCTGTTAATTGTGTGCCGTTATCTAAAACATTACCCGTTTGTTCAATCCGTAACACAATGTGATATTGACATAGCATTTGAATGTATCAAACCGAACCAAAATAGAAGAGTTGCATGTTGTTTCCCAAATGCCAGTCACTGACATGGCTGCAATGAGGAAAGCTTCAACAAATATGGTATTTAGTGGAAGAGCTATGAAGCAGGCTGAGCCCAAGAAAAGGAGGATGACTGGTTTTACGAGTGATTTACATTTCAAAGTACAATCAATTCAAAAAGAGAAAACTTAACCAGAGCAGCCAAATCTCACCTTGTCTCGACCTCATTCTGATCTGATTCGGTTCTCACACTTTCCGAGACTGTCTCAGCAAATATTCACAGAAGACTTTAATAGCCATGACAACAAGAGAAACCTTCAGTTACACGATAATATTTCAAGCCAGGAAAGAAAGGGAGGAACATCAGTGTTTTTTTGTTTAGTGTTTTAACCTCCAAATTACAATGAAGCTGTTTCGCCTTTTGGGTCAATGAATTTGTTTTGCTATTGAACAGACCACAAAGACAAAAGTGGCATACAGCTGACCACTGATACACATGTACTTGTTGAGCCTGCACAGTTATGTTTCTTTGGTTTAAGCTTGGGAGATTTATTGAAAATATGCTAGAAAAGGTCAAAGATGCTTGGCTTTGCATAGGCCTTGTCAGACAAACTCAAAATTGTAGAATAACCAAAAGAAAAAGCACAAATAAGCACAAATAGGACTATATGGTTAAGAACAGTGATTCACTAAACTGAACATCCGGTCAAAAATCTCTCTCCCTGTATGGATGTATCCGAGAGAATAAAAGAAAAAAAGGTCAAACACACTTTTGTTTTTAGACAGTATGTACTGGAACCAGTGATGTAACTCAGCATTACGCCTCTCTGCGGTTGTTTCAAAGACAGAGAGAACACGAGAACATAAAGCCATCAGGTTGAGGTCGATTAGGAGTGTGGCTTACAACAGAGGCACACGTTGCTAGATAAAGGGGGGGTGTGCATGTTAGTGCACAGGGATGTGTGAGAGGTTGATGGTGGACACGCCACAGGGTGACTCGTCTTATTTAGGACCGTCCTGGGACCTCCCTGGAGATATGAAACCAGAGAGAGGCATCCTTTATGCATGAGACAGGTCAACGTAAACTCTGCACGCAAGCTGGTACGTCTCTCAATACAAACTGCCATTTGACTTTTCACATGGGAAGAGCAAGGATTCTTATTATACACAAATATACAATATATATATATATATAAATAAGACTTCTTCCACTTAAGAGAGTCCTTCATCTCTGTTCTCTGCAGACACCATCAGCGCTTTGGGCTGCGGGTCTCGTTTTCCCAACAGTTTACTGCGGATTGTGAGAAGCACTTAGCCCAGAATAGGAGCCTCTTTGTTACTGAAGTAAAAGGTTGAGTTAAGCTTGTGGCTGCTGCCTCTGTGCCGGAGCATGCTCAGGCCTCAGGGAGCACAGAGAACAGAAAGATGCATACCAACGGGGATGGAAAGGAAGTGACGGAGAGAAATGTGAACAATGAGAAGTATTTCTTGAACAAAAAGGACCAAACAGCTGCTGCAGGAAACTGTTGGTACAAATGAGGATTCATTTAGGGTGGTAATAAGTCCAAAAATAAACTAAAATGATTGAGCCTTTTCTTTGCCTGCCAAAGATCTTAAGAATGACATGTTTCTTTCTCGGGTTTGGTCAGTAATTGAGTAGTAATTGAGCAAATATGGAAAGCAGAAATTCGTTGTCAGAACAGTTTTAGCTTTCCAAGCCACAATTAATTTATGCAAATTGCCACTTCCTGGTTCGAGAAAGCATGTTTAATATAATAGCAACTGATAACCATTCCCTCTCAATTAACCAGCAATGTATTCAATCATCAGCATGTTAAACTGCAAGCAGAAAAAGAACGAGGGAGAGCCACAGAAAGAGAAAGAGTGAAAAACGAAGCCTTTGGGAATGACCATAAATATCTATGACTCATCCCAGTTTATTTGTGCTGAAAAGAGACTTACAGTAGTATATTCTCTTTTCTCATACAGTATATGAAACAATAAGCAGTTTATGTGTTTACATCACTTGCTTATATTCTGTATACACAAACAACATGATACAACAAGCGCTCACACAGGCAGTCCTTCAGTATACAGCACATGCTTATGTACTAAAATGCACGCTAACAGCACATTATAAATTCATGCAGAGCAGGAAACAACATGCCATTATACATGTCCGTCCTCAACGCCCACAGCACTGCAGACCCTCCCCTGCCACAGGGAGACATTCTTGTGTTCATGCACATCTCAGTTCATCTCACACACTCACATCACCATAGGACAAAGGAGGCTAACCCTCTCAACCATGCATTCTTCTACATAACTGGCCATATGACTGAGCCATGCGGACATAAGCAATGTAAACCTATTAAGAATTCAGATGGGCCTGTGTGCAATGCCCATGAGGCTCCGTTTATCTTCTTCCAGACTACACACACAAAGCACCAATTACATTTTGTGCACACTAATAAACAGTGGAAATGGCGTCATGAAAATACAAGACGACACCTTTTTCTTGTTTATTTATACATTATATTGTATCATCTACATAAAGTCTGTTTAAAACGGCAGCCTCCTGTGATACACGAAAACTAATCACAGTGTTGATATTTTGAATTCAAGATATGTATTAAAATACATTAAACATGAAACACTGTCCATAATGTTCATTATTGCTTCCTAACCAGATATGTCCCGTTCCTTTATATCAGCCAGGTCAATGTAATCTATACAACCCAGAGTTCTTTTGTGTACAGAAAAGACAAAAATAATCAAATAAAAATATTCAGATTGTGCTTAAAAAACAAAACACATGTTAATAATTTAAAATAGGTAGGACAGTAAGTCATGACAACATTTGAAAGAGGCCTGCAGCCATTAAATATATATCTCATTAAGGGCACGACAGTGAATTGGAAAAATGAGGATGATGATTTTGTGAATGTGAATAATGCCAATACAGTAATACAGTATATTAGTTGGGGCTGCAGCTAGACTATTTTCATTATTGAGTATTTTGTAAATAATATTTCTGTTCTATAAATGTCAGTGAAAGATGTTTATTGACATTTTACAAAGCACTAACTGATGTAATTCTAGTTTACTGCAATCCAACAGTCCAAACCGAAAACAGAGCAGTTCAGAGCAGATGACAAATCTGAAAATATTCATTTGAGAAGCTGGAAAGCAGATCATTTCTGCAATTTCTTAAAATAAATGTCTCAAAGTTTTAATGTGAAATTGAATACATTAAACTAATTGCTGCAGCTCTAATTGATGCTAACAAATGCATTCTGCAGCCTGTAACATGTATTTATTATGTTCTTATTACATGATCACCTGAGTGTTACTACATGTGCGTGTATGAAAAGCCACATCTGAACATGTGGTGGCGAGGCCATATTCCCATGAGTCACAGTGACATCATGCATGTTTGATATCTGTGTGCGACCAGAGCGCTTACAAGCAGAGCAAACACAACAAACTACAGTACGAGCTATAATACCAATGTCAACACAAACCATATATAGTGCAGCAGAGAGTCCACACAGTCAGCACATACAACCAACACACAGAGAGACCATGACGTACACTGTGCAGCTGGCAGCCACGGGACAGTTTGAGAGCAGACCTCAGAGTGCCACAGAAACGTTATAATGTCATTTTGGATCTGATCCTGCACACAATAAGCAGACGTATATTCTGTAGGACTTTCCACATCATTCTCCCTCCCCCATGTGCTCTCATTTCCTCGCTAACTCTCTTTCCTTCCCCTGTCTGTAGAGATCAGTCAGTGCCATCCAGCCACACCAGGCATTTAGTGCCTCTTCACCGCCTACTCCTGCAGGTTTGCACAGTAAATACATGTGTTTGAGTGTGCAGGCTATGTTGGGATGCATGTTTATGTGTGTGTTATGCATGTGGTTCGTGTTAATCTTAAGGCCTGTTACATTACCATAACAGCTGATCCTACTTTCAAGAATTTGACATTTTATTACTGTTTGTATATCATTTCCTGGTAGTTCTTAACAGGAAATGGACTCTGATTATGCATGTCTCTACATTGAATTTCATTGTTCAATTTTCAAATCTTTTAAACTGCTGACTAAATTCAATAATAAAAGATAAAAAAGAGCAGCAAAATGTCTTGAAATCCAGCAATTACATGACAAAATAAAATGTGATATATACCTCATCTGTTCTAATGTCATGATGATCCACGTGTTTATATATATATAAATGTATATCTACATGTGTATTTGTGGGTGGTATGTGAAGTACTGTGGGGGTGGGCAGGAGTAGTGTGCGGATGTGGATGTCACACTGCCAAGAAAAACACTACATGTGCAGGTCATCTTATATATACCCACACTACCAGTATCTTCACAAAGAAAGAAGACATCACACTGAATATTTCTTGCATAAGCTCTGTGATGTATTGCTAAGTTTGGCCCTATAAGTAACACGATCTACACAATTGATGTAGTTGTAGAATCAAAATGTTCTCAGTTAGCAAAATGCTGCAGCTTTCACACAGGCCTGTTTGCTTTACACAATAATAGCTCAGTGCAGTATTACTACATTAAACATATTTTCATGTGACTGTAGTGAAGAGAAGAGGGAGGTAATGGAACTGAA